AAGAGCGGGCGCTCTCTGCACTGGGTACGCCATGCTGACACACTTTTTTCTTTCTCAAACATGTCTTTTTTATAAGATCAAACATGGTGATACTTTTTTTTTCTCGAACATGTTGACACACTTATTATGGCACATGCTACCATATTAGATGACTAATGTTCAATTCTGAATGGCTCCTTTTCAGATTAAAATGTATTTTTAGCTGTTGCTTGACAAAAGCTCTTTTTATGCAGGGCATATTTACCTTACTTTCATTGGTGGCATGCATACCATTAGGCGAACTTTTCTTCTTCCACATAATATTGATAAGAAAGGTCTGCATGCAATACCATTGGGACTGTTACACGGAAATTTCGGTCTGGTTTGCTCAGCTATGCTCCCTTTTCTATGTTGTATTTCAGGGGATTACAACTTATGATTATGTCGTTGCGATGAGAGCTATGAGTGAGGCAGCTCCAGAGGATGAGGAAGGAGCAAATATCATTTACTCCCCATCAAATTCAGCAACAACTGGGTTCAGTGTAGGAAGTTCACTTGGTCTTCACCACAAAGGTGCTTGGTGTACACCTCCAAGGATATTTATCGATCAGGTAAGCCATATGGCAAGTAGTTGCTTCCAAAAACTAGCCTATGCAATGTGTGATGCTACAACTTTAAAAGCTTGATGAGAGCTCAAAGCAGTAAGAAGCACAATTATAATGTTCAAATGAGTCCTTCAAATATACTAACTTTATTTATGTTGACACCATTAACCAGGATGAAGTGATCCCACATTTGGAGCCTGGAATGGTGCCTTCAACCGTGGACCCTGATGCTGCTGGATATGCTGAAAGAGCAAACAAAGCTAAGAAGGCAGTCAAAATCAGTGCTCGCAGCCTCGTAAAGCTTGATAAGAATGAGGTAATGAAAGCTGCTGCAAAAGCTCGGGCATCATCCTCGGTTCTGCGACCAATAGATGCCCGTCGTGGTCATGAAGCTGATGTCATCTCCAGCGGCAATGCCAGTGTCAGGAGCAGCATGAGTGTTGACTACAGTGGCACAAAGGAATCAAACAGCGAGATGAAACTTTCTCCACTTCAGAACTCATACCCCCAAAGCCTTGCAAGCCAGGATGAATACGATACCGGCACACCAACCGCAAGCAGTTTAAGCAGTCCAGTCCACATCCACAAGCTTGCCTCTCACTCTCAGTTCAGTGCAGCGCGTCGCCCTGCACCTCCTGAAAGACCTGTGCCAGCGATGGTGCGGCCACCTGTTCCCACCACACAAATAACCAACACAGGGATACCGTGGCCAGCTGTTCCCGCCACACAGATAACGAACCCAATGTTCCAATCAGCCACATCTTATGTTCGAGAGAACCGGAGGGCCTCTGTCGTCTGGGATCAAGAGGCTGGTCGGTACGTGTCAGTTCCCGCACAGACAAGAATGGGAACTGGTGTCGAGATGCCAACAAGAAACCCACGGTTCTTGGCGAACCCAAGTGGCGAGCCAAGCAGCCATGCGAGGAGTGTTGCACCCGGCAACGCCTCGTCCTCAGCAATGCCATCAGGGCAGCCTTCAGAGAGGCTGACATATTCTGGGCAGTCAATATTCTTCGGCGGCCCCATGCTGAGCACCCCTGGTGTGAGCGGCCAGAGGAATGAGACAGGTACAAGAGTACGCCCTGAGGGAAGCAGAGATCCAAATGCCCAGCAGCGTGACATCCGGGGTGAGAAAGCAAGGACAGGCTCCTTTCCAATATTTGCTCCTGGGACGTTCCAGAGGAACCCACCCTTTGACAAATGACTTGCTCCTGCTCATGAAGTTCATCTGAAGTGCGAGGAACACCCCCAGCCTGAAGAGTTGACAAATAGTTGGAAGGCTGCTCTTCTGGGATTGCCAGACGGACGGACAAGGCAGCCTTTGGAATGAGGCTGCTGGCACTTGGCAGGCCATAACGGAAACCACAAATATTGCTCGGAGTCAGTGCTGACTTTTTTCAGTGTTGGGAGATTGATGAAGTGACTGGTGTAGTACAATGTCTCCGTGTTAGGGATTCATCAGATACCTGATGCGCGACAGATAGGAAGAGTTAATTTCTGGTGATGTCAAACGAACGCCGATTTGCAGCTGACTTTGTAGTGTCGATTGCCGTCACTGTGTGTGCGCCATGGGATACTTTTCGACATGTAAAATGTTAGTTCAGGTCCACTTTCGGACAGTGCTCGGGCGTACTTGCTTGAATGCTTGATAGTACCAGGTCTTGAGTTTTGATTCTTGTAGTTGTAGCAGCATCTTTTCTTTGCGGGTGCCTCTGGGCTTGCCACCAATGTTGACAAATGCCTGATCTCGCCGATCCGCTGCACCCAGCTGCAGGTAGACGCAGTACAGCAGGTGTTCCCCTGCAAGGTTCAGGACTTTCCCACCAAGGGACCTGGGCGCACCCCTGTCGCTCTCCAGGATTAGCCGCTGTGAGGAGCAGCGCCTCGTCGACGCGGTGGCTGCACGCATACCGACATGGAAGGGTGGGCTACTGACTCATGCAGGGCGTGCAACCCTGACTCAGACACGCCTTGTTCGATTATCTTATGAGCCGTATTTTTTTAGCGATAGTGTTTTTCTTTCACAACAAATTAGCCACCGATACTTTAACGAACTTCCAGTGCACATATGCATCTGTTGCTGTCTCTCGGCCTCGGCGTCGCGCATTCCTTTGGGCTGGCACCGACACGGTCTCCTGCGGGCGATGCAAGATTGCCTGGCCGATCGTGTGCGCACCCAAAGAACACGGGGGATTGGGAATCCCTGATCTCAGGATCCTCGGTATGTGTTGCGTTTGAGATGGGAATGGTTGCGCAGGACCGAGCCAAATTCAGCCTGGGCGCAGTTGCCATCCTCTCCTGAACGCAGCGTTTCCTTGATGTTCAGTTCATCAGTCACCGTCCAGCTTGCGCGACGGCGTCTCCATGTGGTTCTGGACCGACGCTTGGCTGCCTGACGGGGCGATCTCCTTTGCTCCCAACCTCTTCAAAGCTGTCGGCCGCCGGCGACTCGGTCGGACAGTAAAGGACGCCCTGACTAGTCGCCATTGGGTGCGCGACATCACCGGCGCTCTACCTCTGGGTGAAGCTCGAGAACATACAGCTGCAACCTTTGGAGCCCGACCGTTTTGTCTGGCGAGCTTACTTCATTGGCTGGACGAACATGGTGGGAGCCAAAGAGCTTTGGCGTGCTGCAGTACCACCAAAGGTGAAGTTTTTCTTCTGGCTGGCCTTGCACGGACGTCTATGGACGGCGGAGCGCAGAAAACGCCATGGCCTTCAGCTGCAGGCTGCCTGCGCCTTGTGCGATCAGCACGACGAAACAACGGATCACCTCTTGTGCTCGTGCGTATATGCGCGCGAGGTCTGGTCCCGTTTGTTACAACCCTTCGGCTTCCATGGCGCCGCTCCACAGCAGACTTCAACCTTGCTTGACTGGTGGTAGCTGGGAAGGACATCCCTGCCACAGGTCCTCAGAGGAGCTTCGACTCCATGGTATTGCTCGCCACTTGGTGCCTGTGGAAGGAACGCAACCGTCAAACATTCGATCGCAGGTCAAGGACGCCATCTGAATTGCTCTCCATCATCATGGAGGAAGCTGACGCCTGGATCGGTGCTGGTTTTGGCAGCCTAGCGTTGCTCACCGCTCAGGCCGCCTGATTAGCGTGGGGAGCCCTTTCCGTCTACGTTGCACAATTGGTTCTTTACTTAGTACAAGCCTGTCTCTCCACTAGATGGTGATTCGTGTTCTGTGTTTTCTCCAAGTCGAGTACGGCTCCTCATTGTGACTCTGCTATAGAGGTTGTAAACTTTCCCACTTCTACTTAATGAAGCACGTGCTAATGCACGCTTTCGAAAAAAAAAAGCAGCATCTTTGCATGGTGTGAACCATCTCTGCGTTTTGTTGTTCGTCGCTCGCGTTGTTTTGTCGGCCTTTGCGTAGCTGGCGGAGGCAGCAGCCGTGTGGAATGCTCAGCTAAACGTCACGGCGACGCTGGCTGGGATGGGCTGCCGCTCTTTGCTTGCCGGCGGTGGAGGTTTCCCGTTGGCGTGGCGGACGCGGACGGTCACGTTGCCGAGCAATGGAATGGAAGTCCAAGAGCTGGATGGTTTCTGCAGGGTGTGCACTGCTGTGTACAGGAACTGTGTGCTACTCCATTGACCATTGAGGTAGTAGGGAATTTTTAGAATTTGGATAAAAAAAAATATAGCGTGTTTTATTGGATTCTGTCTGTGTGTTAAAATTCAGTAGAATCTAGTCCGTTTTGGATGAGATTTTAGGATTCTGAGATTTATTTTATCCAAATTTTAAAAAAACTACCAACCAAATGTATAGATGGGCAACGTGCCGGCAGGGAGGGGGGGGGAGGATTTGTGAATTGTGATTTAGGATTTGGGGGTGGGAGCGGGGAGCCGCGGCCGCCGGGTTATATATGGAGCGGGGAGGGGGTGGGGTTGTGACCGGCCGGCTGGGAGCTGAGCTAGGCCAAATGACAAGGCGAGGAGCCGTGGGGGACACCGGGCCACCACCGGACCTACCGTTGAGGTGTGGGCCATGCCGTGCTGGCCCACATGCCTGGGTGAGGCCCAGGCACGGCCTACACCTCCGGGGTGGGCCAGCCCGGGCCCGTTGGCTACCGGGTCAGGCCGTGTTTGGGCTGGGTCAAAAATAGAGGCCTCGTGCTGACGCTGACGGGCTCGGGCTGCATGACCATATATAAGCAAATGGAACCTGAGCAGTGACATCTGCATATATTGCAGCGGAAGAAGGGGGAGCAAGCAGATAAAACCTCCTGTCGCTAAAACCCTTTGCTGTTCTTCGGTGCTTCACCTCGCCGCCTCGCTTCCCCATTTCTTCTCGCCACTGCCCACTGCGCCCCCCCGCCCCCGCCTTTCTGCCTAGCGGATCGTAGTCGCGGGCCGGCAGTCGCGGCTCGGCCCCGGGCGTGCTCACACTCGGTTCCTGCGGCCGCTGCGATGTACCTGACCGCCGTTTCCTTCGCCCCCGCAGCCGGCTTCTCGTCCTCATCCCAGCAGCTGCTGCCCAGGTCGGCCAGGGTCGGCCGCCGCCTGGTGGTGCGGGCAGACGTCAAGGTCATATCGACCGGCGAGGCCTGCCGCCGCGGGCTCGCCGCCGGCATTGACAAGCTCGCCGACGCCGTCGCCGTCACCCTCGGCCCCAAAGGTGAGGCTTTCGTAAGCTTGCTTCGGTTCCTGTTATCTTGCTGGGGATGTACTGGGGGAGGTATCGAATATCTGTTGGGTATCAAACCTTCTCTGGTTTATCTTCGTTCAGTTAAAAAAATGCTTAAGCTACGATTTCCGGACCCATTTGGACCTAAAATGTTCGAGATAACGGTACACTATGATTCACCTTAAGTAGTATTGGTGCAACCAATCCGATTGACAAATGAAGACTTGGTGTTATGAAGGCAGTTAGCTTTAGGACATTTCTATTCAGAGTAGTTACTTTAAGATTCAGGTCTCTGACCTGTGTTGTTGCTCCCCAACAATATCCCATTTCGAGTCACATGGTTACCTAGCTACTCCAAACTCGTTGATTGGTTTCTAGCCTTTTCTCCTGCAACTGCCAATTTGTTGGAAATAGGGTAGTTTCATCTAATGCTTTGGATGGAATATTTTCTTGTCACAAGTTCACAGTGACTTGATAACCTGTTTTATCTGAACGGCAAAAGATACCTTTTTATGTTGCTGTTAATTGTCAAAGGTGTAGTAAACTTTGGAGCATATTTTGCAGTGAAGGTGCTATTTATGCTCTTGGGTTCATATCTCATGCTGTTCTTACTATACAGATACTCTGTTTGTGTGTCTTGTAGTGCTATTGATTGTTGAAAGCTCAGATGTTTATTGCAGGGAGGAATGTTGTTATTGACCAAGATGATGTACCTAAAGTAATTAATGATGGTGTCACAATTGCCAAGGCTATAGAGCTCCCAAATGCGCTTGAGCATGCAGGTGCCACGCTACTTCAAGAGGTAAGGTGCTACATTTCTTGTATCCTTAAATCGGTTAGTATTGCTGCTGCTTGTTTACTGGACATGATTTAGCCAGATAGCAGCCAAGACAAATAGCGCTGTTGGTGATGGAACTACAACGGCAATTGTTTTGGCTCGGGAAATCATCAATCTTGGGTTGTTGGCAGTTGCCACTGGTGCTAACCCAGTTGCATTGAGAAGGGGTATTGACAAAGCCGTTCATGAGCTAATTAAGATCTTGAAGAGTAAATGTATCCCTGTGAGTACAAAGGAGGACATAAAAGGTAATCTTTATATTCTGGAAAATGAGGGTTCCTGTGTGTAAAAATGCGAAAAATAAGAAAAGTGAGGAAAAAGTACACCCACTAGCCTACTACTACTGACAAATGCTAAATTGGTTATGCACATTTAAAGCTCAAGTCGTGTGTCATATGTTATTTTGGACATTTGTAGAGAAAGGAGCTTTAGCTTGATTTGAATTAGAAAAAATAAGACTGCACCCCTGCATATGCTCAAATGATGAAAAAAATACGAGCCATCTTTTTTTGAGTGTTATTTCTCAAGCACATTACTTTGAGGTATGGCTTGCCATGTTTGTGTATGCATGATCTGCATCATCAGACTACTCAGTGGTCGCCGTAGTAATCCTGAATTCAATTTTCAGCTGTTGCTTCAATATCGTCTGGCAATGATGAATATGTTGGCAATCTCATTGCTGATGCAATGGAGAAGATAGGTCCTGATGGTATAATCAAAATTGAGTCATCATCTTCAATATACACGACAGTTGAGGTCCAGGAAGGAATGAAGGTACATTTACGTGGCCATAGAGATTTTTTAAGTTCAATTTTATATGCAAAAACTTTGTTTTGCTCAGTCAGTAATGGATTTATTCCAAGGTCTATCAAAAATACCAAGTAATGATTATTTCAAACATGTTAAGAGGGACAGAACTTGCTTTGAATCATTTCTTGCTATGTGGAGCATGCATGTAGGGGTGCTATCTAAATTATTATTCTCCATTGATCCTTGCAGATAGACAAGGGATATGTTTCTCCATACTTCATCACAAATCAAGACAAAGCAATCGTTGAATTTGAAAATGCTAGAGTGCTTTTAACTGATCAGCGTGTGAACGAAGTCCAAGAGATACTTCCCTTGCTGGAGAAGACAACACAGTTGAGTGTCCCTTTATTAATTATTGCTGAGGATGTGTCACATGCGGTGTCTTCAACACTGGTTCTTAACAAACTGAATGGATTGCTAAATGTTGCGGTTGTTAAATGTCCTGGTTTGGGAGATGAAAAGAAGGCTATTCTCCAAGATATTGCTATTATGACAGGTGAATATATAGAACTAGTGTTTAAAAGCTTCATACCTTAACTTACAGATTTTGGTCTCCTAGAATGTGGCATTTTTTAGAAAGTGGCTTTACACATTTAGCAGTTCATGTTACTTGGGACTTGGGAGGCAAAGCTACATTTCATTTAATGGGCTGCTAAGTTCAGCATTTTTTGTAGCTTCCACTAGTGCTTTGAGGCATCATAAGGATTGCACTTCATTTTGTGTTTGCATGGTATGTTGCTTCCACATCATATAAGGTCACTGAGCAGTTCTCTTTCTCTATAACTAAACAGGTGCGGATTTCTTTGCTAGTGACCTTGGCTGGGGTCTTCATGGCATTACATCTGATCAGCTTGGTATGGCTCAGAAGATCACAATAACTAGTGAATCTACAACTATCATAGCACATCCTTCAATGAGACCAGAGATCGAGGCCAGAATCATGCAACTGAAAAAAGATCTAGAGGAGACAACAAGTTCCTATCTAAAAGAAAGGTTCTCTGCAAGAATTGCTAAACTTTCAAGAGGTGTTGGAGTCATCAAGGTGTGGCACCATGTCTGGAAACCTATATCCCAATAGTTTTTATATTAAAAAATGGATATGAGCTTGATGTGTGCATTGCATAGATTTTCAGGGTAGAGAAGTGCATTATGCATAGATCATTTTAATTAGGATATAAAATTTATTTTCAGGGTAGAATTTTATAGTGCAGAAATCATTTTAGTTGTGATGTAAAATTTGTTAGTTTGTATCTGGAGATATGAAAGGAATTGTTTCCTATTTCAGGTTGGGGCGGCCACTGAAGCTGAACTCGAGGATAGGAAACTGAGAGTGGAGGATGCAAAGAACGCAACTTTTGCAGCCATTAGTGAAGGCATAACTCCTGGTGGTGGAGTGACATATGTTCATTTATCGAAGCATATTCCCAGTATCATGGACCTAGTGGATGATGCAGAAGAGAAGATTGGCATAAATATAGTTGGGAAGGTTGATTTTACAATGCACTGGCATTTTATACTTGTTCTGCAGGCTCAGAAGATTTCTGTTTGCTTTTTACTCCCTTGCAAAATACTTATAAACATTCAGCATCCTAACTCTGAAATTTGCCCAATTCTTTGCTCTAGGCACTTCTTGTCCCTGCTATGACGATAGCTCACAATGCCGGGGCAGACAGTCCAGCTGTTGTGGAGAAGCTTCTGGCCAGTGAGTGGCGGGTGGGTTACAACGCACTGACTGGCGAGTTTGAAGACCTTGTCGCTGCTGGTGTGGTGGATCCATGCAGGGTCGCAAGATGCGTGCTCCAGAACTCTGCTTCTATCGCAGGGCTGATTCTTATGACTCAAGCTATGATGTTTGACAAGATAAAGAAGAAAAAGTCCCCCATACCGGAGATTCCTGGTATTCCGCCGTTGCAGATAAGCCAAAAGGCTAAGGCTTGAGCTGTTGGAGGGGTATGCTAAAAAACCCTGGTGTGGTTGGCTGGATGAGTTGTGTTGAGCTAGGAATCAGCAGAATGTGACCCCTTGATGAAAGATATAGATGATCGCGTGATTGGTATGAATTGATGCAACACGGAGGGAGCTGTCAAAACCAGGTAGAACTGTGAGCACGCAGAATGCCCCATGTAGCTGTACAGTCATTATATTTGGTGGTAGGTGCAGTATTAGTTATGTCTGCATAATTTTGCAGTGGTGGGTGAGAAGATAGCTCGGCAATTAATTTTTGCCTGACTTGAGAATGTAAACGAACAAATGACTGATTTGTTGCTACATAGAGGGCCTGGTTGCACCTTTTGGGCATCATCGAGCAAGAGCAAAGCATATTTCCTTTCTTGTCGCGTCTCCCTTGAATTGCTGTTGCAAAAATGAAATGGAAGCAGCTAGCCGTGAGGCCTCTTTCATTTCATTCATTAAAACATATACAACGAGACAACACAGATACCTTTTAGGAAAAGAAATTGATCATTCTGGCAAGGAGTCTTTTATCGATCTCGCGTAAGAGCGTCTTTTTTTTCCTGAACGATCGGCCTACCGCCATTATTCATGCAAAACAGAATAGATCATGGTCTATCTAGTGATACTAATATAATGTCATGAATATTTGTGTTTTTTCTATAAATTTAGTTAAATTTAAAATAGTTTACCGTAGAATAACTCTAGAAGTTGATGTAATTTAGGATGAAGAAAGTATTGTGGTACGAGACAAAGTAATCATGTTATACCATATAATTTTTTGGTTTAATACATCCAAGTGAGGATCCTCTCCCTCCCATAGGTTTTTTTTTTCTCAAAACAGGATATTATTAATAGACAGGGATGCATATTTATAGAGGTATTTTGATAAAGACATAAAAGATAGTGGAAATTTAGGAAGTCGTGAGAGCTACCTACATGCTTGAGAGGAGGCGTGGCAAGTTCAGATGAGGCATCTAAAAAGCATGTGAATTGATCTGATATGTGACCACGTAGGTCATCATCCCATTAGGGCACCTCCAAAAGTTAGCTCTAAGGGCACGATTGGTTGCCTGGGTGCACCCCCAGCCATGCCACCTGCATACAGTTAGATGCGACTGGTTGCCTGAACAACCATCCAAGCCTGTCATGTCCAATGCAATCGGATTAGAGTGAATGATATTGTTAAGAGTACATTTGATATATGTGTTTGTAACTTTGTGTTGCGATTTTAGAAAAGGACTATGCTATGTTCACATTATTCAAGATATATTATTCTTAGAGAGGAAATGCTTATAATTGTCAAGATATAATGAAATGATTGGAATTTCTAATTTTTTTTTACTGAAATATGGAATCATTACTTTCTTTCTTTCTTTTCCCTCATGTTTTAAGCCAAACCTTAACATATTATAGTAAACTGAAGTAGAAAAGGCACAATCGCAACAGAGTTGGGATGATCCAGGTTGGAACTCGGAAGTGAAGATGAACGAATCACTTTCCATAATAAGCTCAGAAAGTAGGCTAGACAAGCAAACGTCTTGTCCTTATTCCTGTCAAGCGGTTATACACTTTCGTCCCATCTCTAAACTCTGTTTATAATGGGGAATGATCCGTCCCATCTCTAAACTCTGTTTATAAATTATAATAACCAATATAATATAACAAAGATTTTTTACCGTTCAAAAAAAAGAGTAACGCTGTGATGGTATATAAAATCGAACACAAAAGTTGGCTTCCACAGAAAGCTAGGGTCTAATTAGTTGGCTTTCAATTCTTGCCCAACCGAAACCATAATATACTAAAATTTATAGTTATCAATTGGTTCATTTCCAAACAACTGACACACCATTATTTATGGCTAAAGTTTTGGCAAGTCTCTAGAAAGTTCTTTGAACTGTATATAAAAGAGAAAATTAGCAAGCCTTATTTGGCAGCCAACTAAATGCACATCTATGATTTTTTGCTCTAACTTTGACAGCTTTAGTTTTGGCAAGCCTAAATTTTAGTTTGTCATAATTGTATAGCTAGGTAAAAATTGGTAGCCAACCAATCATGCTCCTAGAGAAGAAAAGAAAAGTTCTAGTATTAGCCCTCGTTTAGTTGGAGAAATTTAGATTTTGGGGTTATTGTAGCACGTTCGTTTTTGTTTGGCAAATAGTATTCAAATATGGACTAATTAGGCTCAAAACGTTCGTCTCGCAATTTCCCACCAAACTGTGCAATTAATTTTTTTTCGTCTATATTTAATGCTCCATACACGGGCTGCAAACATTCGATATGACAGATACTGTACTAATTTTTTAGAAGTTGAGGTGGAACTAAACAAATGCTACTTGCTACGTTGTACTAACAGCGTCGGTACGTGACGACAGGCAAGCTGAGAGAAGTCCATGGGCCGCTTGCTGTCCGCGACGCACTCGCCCGATGCATGCGGCCGGCGCCTCGCGAGCCACGCGCTCCCGACACGACACGATCACACGACGATACGTGCGCCGCGAAACCTCTTCGCCTCCTGGTCTCCTCCCTTTTCTCCGCGTGGCCGTGGGACCCACCCACCCAGAGCTGCGAAGCGCAGGAACCGAAGCGAACGCCCAAGACGCGTCCCCACTCCCTTCGCTTTCCCTCAACAATCCTTTTACCCTTTCCATCTCCCGCGCCCCGCCGCCACCGAATTCCATCTGCAGCCGGAGCGGCGGCTGTGCTTTCTCTCGTCAAACCACCAACCACTCCGCTAGCCACCAGTCCACCACCACGCCCGCCGCTTCCCTGCCGTGGCCACTGGCCTCCGTCGAGGTTGCCCCTCAACGCCTCAACCTCAACGCCTCCACTGCACCACCCATCGATTCCAAGTGCGAAGTAACCCTTCCCCTCTACTCCCTCTATCTACAAGCTACTTGCGATCATCATCCCATCCGTGCCGCGTCTTCTGTTGTCTCGCTTTCTTCAGGCTACAGGCACCACTTGTATCGCGACATTTCTCTTTTTTTCTCTCTCCCCTTTTCACCTCCAATATTGTTAGGGTTTACGATCCGCAGGTATGCCCCAGCACTCACTCGCCAATGTTATCTGCAAGTCTCAGCGCTTGTGGATGATTTGGATCTTGGTTCCGGTTCCACCACCGTGCTCGATCTGCGCCACAACCGTTGCCTTTTCCTTTTGCTTTATTGATTGAGACGTGCTTGTTGCCTGGTTCGCTAACTGCAGATTTGGTGCTCTGCGTTGCAGATATTTTTTAAGTTTGGTCGAACCAGTTTCTTCGATAAAATAAAAATTTGCGTTTGGACCACAATTGTTTGTTCCTTTCTTGTTTCTCGTTGAAATAAAGCGGGGGAAAGCTTTTCTCAAAAAAAAAAAAAATTTGTTCGTTCCTTTGTCCGTTTACTGTTCCTAAACTGCTACTCCTACATCTGTACTTTTCTGTACTTGATGTGGTCTCCACCCTTTCTCATTAGCCTTCCTTGTAATAATATTTATTTCTTCCTTCGGTTGAACACCGGATTTTTTTTGTTTTATTCTGACTCGCTTCCTTCTATAGCTAAAATTAATTTTGACATCCTGCCACTTCACTGTTGGAAATACTATGTAGCCTGTGTATATAACTAATTAAATGTCAGTGACAGCCGATTCTCACTCATTTTCACCTGTGTGCGTGTGCAAGGTCCGTCGGAATGAGGCAGGAGGGGCCTCTGCTGTCGGTTAGGCATGATGCTGCAGGCTCCATGGCAGGAGCTATCTTCATGTCCAACACCCTCACAAGGGAGCAATGCTTCCAAGCAGGCATTTTCGGTCTACCCTTGGAGTATCGATCCTTTGTCAGCCATGTCAGAAAAGGGATGTCTTTGTTTCTCTTTGACCATACTCTGCGCAAGCTTTACGGGGTCTTTGAGGCTGCCTCTGATGGAGGCTTCAATATTAACAGTGCCGCATTTCGGTCGATTCACCGCTCATATCCTGCGCAGGTAATTCGCAGTTAATATGTGCCTCTTGGTTAATCCTACTCTTGTCAGTTTGGATCCCTTTAAACAACGATGCCTTATGAGTTATGTTTTTCCTCAGTTCTCTGTTTTCTGAATATATATGCTTGTTGCTTGCACTCCATGTGAGGCTGGTTGTGCTAAGTTGAACTCGCTAAAACTGGGAATACTGTAAGCTGTGTAAGACCAAGAACTGAATCTTGACAATAAATACCTTGGTTTTTTTTTTCTTCTTGTTAATATAAAATATAAAATTTTATGATGGGACTAGGAATAGAAGTGCTCACATTGCTTTTCATGTCTATGACTTCTGCACATTAGATACATCAGCTAAGATATACTAGATCTTGGACAAAGCTGCTTTGATGGTATAGATGATTATATAAAGATAAACTATTCGTTCTGTTTTTGAGCTGTTCTTTTTTCCCCTCTCTAGGTTCGCATCAATATTATTTGGAAGTGAAGATGAGTTTTTTCCTGCTATAGAAGACAACTACTATCAGCCAAGGAAGTTCTACTTTGACCTTTCATATGAGCAGGTTTGCTTCACTACTGCTTTGCTACATGATGTTAGAAATGCACCTTCTGATAGCATGGCTATGACAATGGAAACTTCTTCTAACTAGCAGGTTGTTCGGCTTTATGAACTGTTTGATGACAAGAGGGTAGGACACCCTATTCATGACTATCCACAAAATGAGTGTTTGCAAACAAACTGCTCCAGCAAAGGGATACCTGACAAAGAAAACTTGACTCCAGACCCTCCTCATTCCAGTAATCAATTGCCCCTTTTGGTTCCCAACATTTCAGAAGTCATAAGATGTTCTACTCCTACAAGAATGCACACAGATTTACCACTTAATGTTGAGGCACACCGGGACATGCCGATGCCCTTAGGAGCTGAAATTAGTGGAGCTCAAATTGCTCCCACCTGCAGCTCCCATCATGACCAAATAGAACCTTTTTCTCAAAGAGAGTTTTTCCCAGCTGCTTCAGTGACAGATGCTGTTTCAACTCAAGTATCTGCCCCTTGCTCTGAAACTACTAGGCACTACCAGTTGGTTGGGCAATCACATCCATTACCACACAACTATCCACAGAACATGTTGCCTGCTGGATTTACAGCCCAGGGCCCAATTGAAGGATCTAAATTTGTTGCAAACCAATCGTATCCATTATGCCGTGGTCATATGCACAATGGCTTTTTAAGTTCTGGAGGTGGAACTCAAAATCCAACTTACAAAGGGATGAATCACTTGAATTCAACTTTTCCTCCGTATGACCGATTATATCCTCGTTTGCCAGTGTTGAACCCACAAAGTAACTCTGACTATCAGGGTCAATGTGACATCTGCTTCAACCAAGGCCGCCCTGATACACATAATGGCATACATGCATATGAGCGTCAGTGTTTAAGTGAAGGAGAAGTGCTAACAATGGAGGAACTGAACCAACAAGATATTCCCACATGCCCACAAGTTATTGGATGTGATGGGAAAACAGTATCAGCAATCCATCAGCAGAAGATGAGTTCTACTGATTACATTCAGATCCCTGATTGTGATGAAGACTTTGAAAATGATCAGATGAAACATGGTACCCATGGCAATGCCTCAGATTCATCAGATGTTGAAAATGGTATTGTTGATCCACGATATACACAACATACTGTAGGAGCTGAAAACGACACAAAGGATCAGTGTAGCCTGCCAATAAAAGGTGTATTTTCTCGTTTATCAGTGAGGAAGCAACTGACTTCACAAGAGGCCACTGGTCCCACGCTCAAGCAATTGGTTTCTTCTCTTTCTCGGAAGACAGAACAGTGGAGCCACAAAAATAGACCAATTGAAGATGGTCTTATTATTCCGTTGATCGGGGAGCAAGCTGTGGACTGTTCTCATGCATCGCTGAACCAGCTGAGTCAACTAGATCTGGAAGAAGACGTAAGCATAGAGCCACAACTTCCCTTGTTGAACTTCAAGAGACGCAGTGAAGCAGGGAAGGCGTATGCAAATTTAGGAAAGGAGATCAGTGGGAAAGGGAAGAGAAGAAAGCTTGTGCGTCCTTCCTTTGAAGAAAACAATGCTTCTTCAAATGTTGGAGAACAGCTTAAAGGAAATTGCACACAGGACAGGAATCAAAACCATCAGGGAAGTGAAAAGCATTTTGACATTGACCTAAACATACCTGCAGCACCAATAGACAACAATCCAGTGGAGGTTAACAGAATTGCAGTGTGTCCTAGTGTTATTATCAAGGTACAAACAGAGAAACCGTATGAAATAGATACAAACAAGGCAAATTCCTCAAATGTGATGGAGACGACTGAAGAACATGATCCATCCAGTGCACCTGCACAAAAGGTTAACACTGATTTTGACATCGCAGACTTGAACACAATGGATGAATCGAAACTTCGTACAATCCTAGATCATACATCATCATTGTTGCAAGCACTTGCTAAGCTAAAAAATGGGAAGTCCGACAACTGTGAACAGGCTACGTCAAGCATCTGCCTTGAAGATAAGAAAGTAAACATGCCATTGAACTCTGATGGGGGCACCAAACCTGAGGGCAATTAGCAGTAGCAGCAAAGAGGGGAGTCCTCTCCATCTCGATTGGAATATATATGCCAGCGCGAGATTGAAGTTTACCGTCAGTACATGTAGCAACGGGTTTATCTTTCTTCATGGTAGTAGCATTTCGTCTTTTTTGGGGTGACTGTGGGGGGTTATGTTCCCGGAAGAGTGACCATCTCCACTCGTTGGAACTTACACCAACAGCTTCTCGATACAGCCTATGTTAACCATGGAATCGTGCACCGTCTAATGCAAGATTTTCATTAAACTTCTGTGTTTATTTACATGTTTCCTACTGTTTATATCCTTCCGTGTGCTACTGCAATTTTAGTGACAAGAAATTTTAGTTCCATGCACCGTCTAATGCGAAGATTTTCGTTAAACTTCTGTGTTTATTTACATGTTTCCTACTGTTTATATGCTTCCGTGTGCTACTGCAATTTTAGTGACAAGAAATTATTGAATTTTCTGCCAGGCCGCTTTTATTTTTATGTTTCGTGTATGACAGAGGATGTTGAGATGACAGATGAACACATCTAAACACGGTCAGACATGATTTTTTTTTAGCAGTGAGCACGGGTCACGCATTAAGCTTGAAAAACATATCACTACACCTGACCAGGGCAACTGATATAACAAAAGATGTACAACATTTGGACCTCATCTCGTGGAGCTTTGCCCTCTGTTTTTTGTCCTACCTATTTCTCCTGTTCTATGTCAGAGGACCACCTTGTGTTACTGTACAATTTTGTCCCGAGTCGAAGATAACTTTATGTACATTATTACATTAACATTTCACAACATGAGCATCATCTCACAGAGCCTCCTGGTGTTGTTGGACTTGAGGGCGTGCGTGGACTTGAGGGCGTACGTGGGATGACAAACCGGTCGACAATGCGCACCGCATTGATTGGGTCCAGGCCCGACGCAGCCCTCCATTTGCTTGGGAACTTCCTGGTGTAGCTCATCTGGAGTGGCTGCTTGGGTTCCATGTCCCAGTCTGGATCCAGCATCCAATCCTTTGGCACCTGGTTCATTCACAAAACTTAATCATTTTACAGAATGTTTCAAAAAAATCATTTTTACAGAATGGCAGCATAGTTGTTTTTTTTTTTTGGTGAAAAGTATTGAAGTCAGCGAGCTTCTCAACCTTGTCCACGGCCAGGGTGAAGACCTCAAGGTCTCCATTTTTCTTGATGTGGAACCGCGTGAATGCCTTATAATTTGCTATGCGCAGCGAGGAGAAGGCCTCGTCGAAATGGATATGGAACCAGTTTATGCACAAATATAAGTAGCTCCCAAACACCAGTGATACGACAGGTGTTGACAAGACCCAGAAGTACAGGAAAACAGAGACATAATAGATGATGGCACCTCCCCGGGGAAGGGACTCTATTCCTTTTCTGCAGATTGTACTTCTAGTTACTGCCATAACCTGAAAGAGAGCATATATGGCGTAAGTGGCAAACAGCACCAACAATCAGAAATGATCTCATTATAGCTTACAAAAATGAAAGAATAACCTCTGGGATGTCGAATGCCGACATGAGGTACTTAATACATGCAGGGTAAAGACCAAAGGTCCAATGCTCGAGACGAGCGCGAAGTCCCGTGGGGTCAGGAAAATGTTCGCTTTCCACTTTTCGGTACCATTCATAAAGGGTATGGTAGCCTGAGAACAAGTAAAACAACAATTCCATTTTACATTGTGGATGACAAACATAATAACACACGAGGCCACCTCAAAGAACATACAGCTGTTGCAAGCTACTAAACTATCCAGAGAATATAGGACAGGTCATGAATCATACTGCTCTTCTGCAAATTATGGTTGAGCTTTCTTTAGGAAAAATTGTTTAGCGATGTAAGAATCAAAGCTGTAGTGTTAAAGGATCTGACTGGAAAGAAAATAACTTGTGCACTTGTGACACTATAATCTTATACTTAAGGGTTCAAGACAAACAACCTAGAATGGTACTCCCTCCATACTCAAAAATAAAATCGTTTTGGATAAGGCTTGGGTCAAACATTGGGAATATAAATCATGAATAACTTTTTAAGTTGTTGAGTTTGGAAATGTGAGAACCATATGTATAGATTTGTCTTGAAAAATACTTTCACAAAAATTTACATATAACACTTTTTGATAAATATCTTTATAAAAATAAGTAGTCAAAGTTATGCTTTGGAGACCGTGTCGCTGTCCAAAACGACTTCATTTTTTGAGTATGGAGGGAGTACGTGTTATCAGGCAACGATGCACACAAAAAGAAATGAGAGAGGAAATGTGAGGAGAGACAGACGAACCTGATGTTGCTAATAGATGGTTGCGAATGCAGATTTCAATAGCTAATTCCATAAGTAGCATCAGTAGCACTGCCGAAGTAAGATGAGCAGCGGCATGAAGAAAACCAAGCAAAACACGTCTCCTACGCGACAGTTTCGTGGGTACAAAGAAAAATGATACCATCAATAGAGTAACAACACCACCTAGGGACACATAGGATCGCTCAAGAATCTCAAAAACAGCATTCCACATTGCACTGAAGAAACCATTGATACGACCAGCCCAGGAGTCTTCATGTGAGATGCGAAATGAGTCACACTGGATAACAGAACATATTTGCGTCAGGTTACAGATAGGACTAACTGATTAATTTATTAGTGCTGGTGCAATATGTCAATATCCACAGATTAGTAATGTGGTCTATTGCTGCTTTCCCTTCATATAATATAATATTATATTATATTTGCAAATTCGCTATCTGTGTGGTCAGAATATAACCCCATTTGTTGGTTCACAGAAATTTGTGGGAGGGTAGAAAATTGATGTGTAGTCCTCTTGTACCAAAAAAAAAAAAAAAGATCACAACAACATTATGAACCCTAAGAAATGTGTCCAAGTCAACCTTGGAGATAGACAGGGATCTGATCCTATGAACATATACCACTGATTACAGGATTGGCAAGACCTGTTGTAGAACCCCAAGTAAAACATTTGCGCGACGACAAACTTGTATCACCAAGAAGAAAGATGACACTATTTTTCATGCAATATTTAATTTAGCATTTGTGAATGTAAAAACAAATAATTTTTAAGCTTATTATACTTTAACCTAAGAAGGGTCAGTTTTCTACCATACATTTCATAAAAAAGTCAACTCATCTAGTTCCTCTCACCTGTGGAAACATTGAGAAAACCAAGACAAAGTACACAAAACCACCAATTACATCAAATTGCCAATTTTTCCTTCGGAACTTCAAAATATTACCAAGCGCAATCTAGGAAATGAAACAAAGAAGAGAAGTCACATGATAATACAAACCACTCAAACATCATGAGCAATCAAACGCAGGCATGCAATGAACTAGAATAACATAAAAATATAGGATCAGCCTTACCTTGCTAGAATCGTTGTAAGAAGGATATGTAGATTTTGTTTCATACTTGTTCCCATAAAATACCCTGAAGTTTTCGAAGACATGTGTTGGATGCAAAAAGGCCCCGCCACAGCCATTTACAAGTAAGTGCTGTACATGAACTGGTTCTTTTGACTCAATGCAAGAATGTCGCATATAATGGTGCAGGTCCCCAGCCATCCGCAGTTTGCATCTTCCCCTGAGGTACTCCCGTATCAAATATGCAACATTTGTGCCAGTGCTATCACCCCAGTACCAATCAAGGAGCCAGTTTGGTTCATGAGTTATAACAATTACGGAATCACTCTCTCCGACCTGCATACTTCCGGTGGTAAATATGAAGTCACTGAAAAACACATCCTATAATCTTCAACGTTTTCTGCTTACGATAACAAGATCTTCAGTACTGATCAAGCTTATAGAGTAATGTGCTACTATTAAACCATCAAATTTAAAATAACCTTGACACAACTGCTGATACCATGAAGATCAGAGAATGAAATTACCTTCTGTTGACACAACTCAGCAAAAAACTTGAACTGGTAGACATCAATGTCGCCATGAAGAGCTTGGTCAAGACCAAAAACCCACCATCCATTGGGAAGCTTCAATGCAAAATAACTCTTCTTCTGAGGTAGGAACCACCCACCCAACCAACTCTTATGACAGATATACCTTATGAATGTGTTTAATCCATCGAACCAATCTGTTCATCGCCGTATAGATTGTTTGAAACGTCAATCCAGAATGATGTGTTTTCAAAAATATGCATGGCATTTTCATGGTAACAAGGCATAACATATTCAGAAGTTGGCAAATGACAAGAAAAATGAACAAGCGTCGCTGCACAAGATTATATGGCATACTTCATATATGAGCAATAATTACCATGGTTTCCAGGAATCATGAAACACTGTGGTCCTCTGTACCGCCTGAGCTCAGAAACCCCAAGGGGAAGTTCAGGCTTCTCCAGTGCTATATGTTCAGGCTTATACCAAGCAGGAGGCTGGAGAGCATACTCAAAAGGACAGAAAAAACGTCGTTCATACGAAAATGAGGATGGATTGGGATACCTGTGAATATAAGCAAGGAAAACTCCCATTATATAGGCAAACAAATTAACAATGAAACTGATAATAGCAATACATGATATCATCTGTAGCTGGAATGTCGAGTTGCCAAGAACCAGATGAGTTTTTATTGGTTCTTTAGTAGTCAGCGTCAACAGAAAACATACGCAAGGTCTCCACCAATGAGTAGCAGTTGTCCACGGGGAAATGTTAGCCTCGAATCATCAGATTTTATAACTAACGAGGGTTGAGCAAGTAATCGTGCTACAGCATATGTAGAGTTGCCACCATCACCAGTATCTGCAATGAAGTCAAACCAAAGCTCATCTTTTCCATCAAGATGATCATACAAAAGGCCGTGGCTGTTAGCTTCATCAGGAGTTTTATTCATAGCAGCCTGGTCAAGGTTAGTAAAAAACTGTTAATAATTGGTTTAAGACAACCATAGACTCAACTTTGTAGTGCAAAAATAAACCCCTATGTGCAAAGCAGTACATAAATCACTACTGTTATGTGCCTATCAGGGAAAGAAATGCATAAGCAATTAAGCAGAAACCATGCAATAAGGGCACTATGGCAGAGGGAAGAAGTGATGTACCTGCATCATACGCATGTCAAATCGACCAACAAAGAGAGTCACAGATATCATGAGGTCGAAGACAGTTTTAAACAAATCAGTTGATGTCCTGCAGAACAAATTACCAACCTGTAAGTAACTTTTGCCATATCACTTGCAGTATAAGAACTAGTGTATTGACTAATATCGTACCCAGAGTACCAAGGAACCATGTCCTCAAAATCTGGTTTCAACTGTTTCTTCAATTTCTCATACTCCGAAATTGTCAAAGGATGAGTTAAAGCCCATCTGTAAATCAAATCAGTGAGAACAAATGTGGAATTAGTCCAGAACTAAACTAACCAAAGACAGATTTCAGTTTCTGTTATTCGCCTATGATTATATAGTTACACTTTTTTTTTTTTTTTTTTTTGCAGTTAGTTGCTCATATCAAGGTGATAAGCACTACATGCCAAGCACCCAAATTTATGAGCCAATAAGATGAGAATCACTGTAAATATGTTTTCACACATTTAGTTGGCTCCTCAATTATGTCAGTATGCACACATGCATCAGAATAACCAAATTTACTAAGTAATAACATGAGAATATGTTACTCCTATCATGATGTTATTACACCACGAACAGAGATACCATTCTAAAACATTCATCATGTAACTGATGGGTGATTAGCTGAATTAATACTATCAGCATTTCCCAAGTTCCTTCAGTACAAATTCATCAAAAGAAAATTTCTGTAGAAATGGGGAAGGCTGAAGTGCTTAGAAAGTTGGCATACCCCGTTGAACGCTCTACGACATAATTGGCAATGTAAAGACCCATGAATGTAGCCCAAAAAGAGTAGACTGGTGAAATTTCATTGGAGGAACCTGATCCATTTGAAGACAGCTGAACCAGACAAAGATAAGAATAAACTTACAAGGAAAAACGAATATAATCATCTAAATACAAACAAAAGGCACAGTATACTAACTTCTCCATAAATGGCCCATTTAGAGAGAAGAGGGTAATCACTAGCAGAACCAACTGGAGCAAACCAGGAGGAGCAAATCTGTTCTTTAAATTTATGCATACGTAATAGCCTAGAAATCAGTGTGTTGTCATCATGCTTTGTCCAAAGTGAGAATACAATCCAGCTCGCAGTTCTACGATCAATAGATTTATCTCTTGAAACAGTCCTGTTACCGCAGTGGCTGTAGAACACACAGCAAGCTATGCTTATAACCTGAAATAAGACAAGATATAGAAAATGGGTAACACACAGGTAACAAAAAAGATATTAACTGAAATGGAAGACACATGAACCAATGTCACCACGGAACTTACTGCACAGTTTTGTATTATAGTAAGCATCTCTGGTTTTTTCTCTGCCATACGAGAAACAAGACCCAAATACCAAAGGCCAAGAAATATGATATGGAAGACCATCAAGAAAATTAGAGAAGAAATATAAATGGTGAGGAAGAGGGAAAGATTCATCCGCAAATCCAAGCCCATTGACTGAAAACTGGGCAGATGGTATAGTGCTGCCAAGAATATCCATGCAATATACCTGCATTTGGAGACAGCTTCAGAGAACCAAACATCTTGTTTTAACTTGAGTACTAGTTCACAGAAAAGGGGGTTAATGCTTACCATCGGCTGAAGTTCGAATAGTTTGGTTTGAATGTCTTCCTAATGAAAGGCGATGAGAAGAAATAGAAGAAGCCAATCAAACAAGCATACATGGACCACCACTTAAAATTCTTGTCCAACTTCATTATAAGGTTTTGCAAGTTATCCGAGGAAATGAAGAAAAGCCAACAAGCAAACACAGCAATGATAAAATGTCTTGAATGTTCATGCGGGTATGGATATCTATGAGTCAAGATGTTCCTCATCCTCTCCATTTTGAGAGATTCAATCAGACGGCCAGAGGGCTGCTTACGGAGTTTTTCTTTTCCCATAAAGGTACTGCTTCACAAGTCAGTGATTCATGCTCCAGCAACCATTTAGTGTACTTTATCACTTGAGGAACATCTCAAATTTGTGCACCGATCTGCATAAGTAAATCATTATGTTGTTTCCCTTCATCTGACAGAATATGATAACATCTATAAAGCATGGAGAAAAGAAAGATTAAAAAATCAGAACTAAAAGAAAACACAAACTTCCAACGAAGACGAGAAAAACTGAGTTTTAGTGTGCTGACTTCCTTACTCCTACCATGAAATAAAAATAACAAGCTATTAGGCTAACATATTGAATTCTAGTGCTTGGAGATGACTTTTGGAAATTCAACCGATACCGCTTTGTAACATGAACACACAAGTATGCTATCTTATAATTCATCGCACTAGCTATGCACTTCAACAGTACTCCCTCCATTCCCAATTATAAGACGTTTTAGCTTTTCTAGATACATTGCTTTAACTATGTAGTGTATATTTAAGTGCATAGCAAAATCTATGTATCTCGAAAAGCTAAAACGTCTTATAATATGGAATGGAGTACCATCTCCCTTTACCATCAGAGATACATTGTCCATGCACTGTTGCCATGGTATATCCTAAAAGTCATGCATCCCATGCTACATTATCCAAGATGGAAATTTTGATAACGAAACAAAAGGGTGCAGGGAAACAAATATATGCAGACAAACCTTTTTTTTGAAAGAAAATATGTCGACAAACTGAGCAGACAGCAAATTACATCAACAGATCCCATGTAAACGGTGGCAATCATTATAATAAATAAAAAAGAAAGAAAGCCTACTCATAACTGGTTATCCACATCAAGACAAACAAACAAGCTTGCTCCGGGTGAAGAACCCTGGCACACACTTCATCAATACGACATGTTTTCCTGAACTTGCCCAGAACCGCTGGCAGGACCACAGAAGCACACAGCTAAACTAAACTATGAACTGAAAGTCTGTAACCACCAATTGTCCATTATGACGCATGTACTAGCAGACAGATATAGTCATACTAATGTAGCTGGGAAAAAAAAGAGGAGACGAACAAACCATTCTAGGCATCTAGCAGTTCCAGAACATCACCTGAAGGAACAATTCCACCCATAGACGGTAAAAATCACATGGCTTTTACAGAAATTCAAGCGGATAGAGGACAAAATCGATTACACGCACGGATTTGACAACAAACCGGACAGATTAAAAAACGATGCGCTTTATTATATAAAGGGCGTAACCAGTGCAAAAAGATTCCGCTCTATGCGGAGTCTGGAAAATGATGTCAGTGACAAGCTTTACTCTCGTCTGTGCAATACGAGGAGACCACGACTCAAATCCGAGACGTTCCGGTCACAGGGCGGTAAGACTCGAATCCGGGATCTCCCGATCACAGCAGTAAGACTCTACCGCTCCCCAAGCCCGCCCTTCAGATGCGCTTTATTATATATTTTTAAAAAAACGATTTCGATATGCGGCTCGCCAGCAAACACAAAGATCGCACCTTCTCCTCGAAATTCGGCAAGGAGCTGAGATTATCAAAATTACAGAATAACACATTTGTCGAGAAAACAGGGTCAATAAACTATATTTATGGAGGGAAAAGTAATGGGGGGCAGAATTAGGGGACTGAAGCAGTGAAAGAACTGAGGAATTGTACTCACCGAACTCAAAACCAGGAACCAGAGCCAAAGATCCGCACCTCACCAAGCTGTGCCCCGACGAGTGGGCGAGGAACCGAAACAGAGGATGGAATTGAAAAGCTTGGAGAAACCGAGGGGACTCAGCAACCTGGGGCTGCGGCTGGTAGTTTGCAGGGGCAAGAAAGAGAGGAGTTTCAGCAAAATTCTGCTCGAATCTCCCACCGAATCTGCTGCTCCCTCCTCTGGAGGGGAGGAGGAGCAAGTAACTGACACGAAATGGCAAGAGAAAGAAATTTAAAATGCTTCTGGTTGGTCTTCGTCCAGCAGATGTGCCTTCAGCGGTTTCGTCAGGAACTTATTATGGTTTTGGTGCGGTCCGTCCAACGAACTACTCAACGAGCACGAACGGAGAGAGTCAGAGAGAGGGTGGGTGCTTCTGTAGAACGGCAGCTCCGATTTAGGCACCGTTTGCATGCCGAAATTTTTAGCGAAATGCTACTGTAGTTTTTCGTTGTTATTTGATAAATAGTGTATTATTATAGTCTAATTAGGTTTAAAAGATTCATCTCGTAGATTTCGTCTAAACTGTGTAATTAGTTTATTTTTTATTTATATTTAATGCTTCATGCATACGTCCAAAGATTCGATGTGACAGAAAATCTTGAAATATTTGACATTTTGGAGTGGAGCTAAACAGGCCCTTACTGGAAAGATCCCAGGGTTTCGCTGATTTGTGATCTGGGCCTTCGTGACGAGGCAATAGATTCATCAAGATGTTCTGTTCACGGGTGGTTTTTTCTGATAAATCCGACTGATACTGATCTGTTATGTGAAAAGTTGATAGGCTCTTGTCGAAACCAGCAAGTGAACAGGTTGGCTGTTGCCTCGGTGGAAGCGGTGGTCGTGGACCCCGTATGTTGCTTTCGCGAATCGCCACGAGGTGAAATGGAATGATTTTGTCTAATTTTTTTATTAGATGTTCTAGTTTTTGTTTTGTTAAAAGGGACGCAAATGTCTTAATTTATTTTTATTGTTTGGACGAGACACTAGGGATTAGAGTAAATGGATAGATGGTGTTTTCTACACCTTTAGAGCATGTTTGGATTACTTAAAAGTTAAAATTAAAGTTTAGTTAGACTAAATTTTAGTCATGTAAAGTTTCGTTAGGTAGTAGTTGATACTAACTACTCAAACTTTATGTGAGGCATGCTTGAACAGACCACACTACCCTTTACCCATACGAGAGAAAGGGGTAGATGAGGAGTACGTTTACGTCTTTTTGTGTTCTATGTCAATTTCATTCCCTCCATCCAAAGATATAAAAAATTGAGAGTTCAAATTAGATATTCTAGGTGCGCAAACACATCATATTCACGTGCATACCTACTATTAATGTGTATCATCAACCCAAACATAGTAATCAGGGAGGGTTATATGTGTTATTTGTCTTAGCACGTAATATGTCCTAAAATTACTTCGATGCCTTATGTTTCAGGACAGAGGGAGTAGTTCGGTTTAGCATATCTTTGCCAACTAGAGAACTAATCACTAGTTAAACCCAAATTTAGTCTACTTATTAGTCTGCATGTTTGGATAGACTAGGACTAAAATTTAGTCACATAGAAAGAGGTAAAGGAGCAGTGGAGGAAGAGCCACTTGGAAAGGATGCCAAGAGGCTTGTCGATGTTTCGAGTAAACTCCAACAGGTAAATTTCTAATATTTCGCGTCTGGCCCGGATGGTGTGCTAAGAGGACACGAGCTTTATATTGGTTCGAGCAGAATGTCCCTACGTCCAGTTCGTTGTTGCTGCTCGTGTTATTAGCACTGAAAGTTCATAGTAGGGGTTACAAACGGTCGAGAGAGGGACATGTCCCAAGTCTCTGGGGGTGTACTGTGATGAGTTCCGATCAATTCGGATGGGTTCGAGCTCGGATGGGTTCGGATGCTGGCTTCATGGTCCGATGTCCGATGTCCGATGTGCGATCGTTGGTCTGATGCCCTTTATTGGGATGCCCTGCTTTCCCTTTTATAGGCCAAGGAAAAGTAGGGATTACAGTGGAGGGAAAAGAGGGGAAAATGAGAAGAAGAAGAAGTCCTCCAAAATCGTCAGGTTCTTCTTCTTTTATGCGGGTCTCGCTGACCCTGTAGACGTCAATAGGGACAGCTTTCCGTCACGGTCCTATCCGTCACTGGCGCCACGTGCAGGCGTCGTCTGCTGGTCACAGCGTTCCACTTCGTCTGGTACGCCCGACGTTGTTCCTGATGTGAATCCCCAGGTATGGCCCGTCATGGCCACGGGTTATATCGGGGCGTGCCGGTCACTTCCCAAGCATCAGAGCTTTGACCCAGACCCATACGCTTGGACCTAGAGTGGTCGGCGGCGGTATGGGTCTTCGTCGGGCGAGATGGAGCCCTTCCCTCAGAGGTCGGGCGAGGCGGAACCGGCCCTTAGAGACCGAGCGAGGCGGAGCGTGGCCCTCAGAGGCTGGGCGAGGTGGAGCGTGGACCCAAGGGTCGAGCGAGGCGGAGCCCTGCCCTCAGAGGTCGGGCGAGGTGGAACCGGCCCTTAGAGGTCGGGCGAGGCGGAGCCCTGCCCTCAGACGTTGGGCGAGGCAAAGCCCTGCCCTCGGAGGTCGGGCGAGGCGAAACCAGCCCTCAGAGGCCGGGCGAGGCAAAGCACAGACCTAAGGGTCGGACGAGGTGGAGCCCTGCCCTCAGAGGTCAAGCGAGGTGGAGCCCTACCCTTAGAGGTCGGGTGAGGCGGAGCCCTACCCTTAGAGGTCGGGCACGTCAGAGCCCTGCCCTCGGAGGTCATGCGAGGCGGAACCAACCCTCAGAGCCCGGGCGAGGCAGAGCTCGAACCCAAGGGTCGGGCGAGGCGGAA